AAATCCTTTGAAAAATCTCTTGAAAGGTCAGTTCAGGTATTCACATTCCGCTCACAGCCATGCAGTGATTGTCCTAGATTCCAAGAAAAACTAGCGATCAACATGGAATGATTTTGAGACAGTGGGATTCGCAATGGTACTCACAACTGCGTAGCTGGATGAGGTGTAGGTAGACTAGTAGGTGACAGGATATGACAGCAGGTGACATTGGGTGACAAGTGGTGATAATGTGCGAGAACGGGTTATGAGATGATAAAAAGTGACATAGCGATGGGGACAACGCACCATTGTTATGTAGGCTTCAGTGAGCAGTATTTGAGAGTGGTAGTAACTCGAATAAAAGCTGTGTTGCGGCTGCAAAGCTGGCAAATTCCCGGCGCTGGTGACGTCCTGGATGGCCCAGTCGTGATTTACAGAGCTTAGCGAGTGAGGAAGAGATGAAAGGTGACTCATTGAAGCTTGATGAATGGCGCCAAAGATGTGCGATGATGAGGAGTGATAAGCCGTTTTGTTGAATGATCGGCGTAGAAATGAAAATCTCAAGCGCGAAGCACTGAGCATTGAGCAGTGCGGCGCTTCAAAATGTGACATGCGCTAGACTTCCCATTGGAAACGTTCAGGATTTGAAATATCACTTTGAGTAAAGAAACACAAAAAACTGCAGAGGTGGGCCAGAAGCAAGATCTTACCAGACAAATGCGATTTAAAAAAGCAGTTGGAAGGTGGAAAAGGTGGTGCCTCCGACAACGGGACCATTGCAATAGTGAGCCTTCGTTCGCAATGTTTCGCAGAGGACTTCTTTCGTAGATGACTATGGCATTTTCGGAAAGCAATGAAAACGCGGACGTGAGGAAATTAGGGAAATTCTTCGTCCTAATAACTTTTACTGCTTAAGTTTATACAGTTCGTACCTTCTTTACCCGCTTCCATCGGGAAGGGAGAATTTTCAGAGGTAGCAGAAGGAGGGTTATTTGGGGCAAATGTACAGTAGCGGTCAAAAGTGTTCGCCGAAACGATTTTTGGTGCATTATTTTTTCTCGCTTGAGCAACGTCCTCCAAAGATTGATATACTATGTTTTCTAGTGTTTTTATATCCTCAAGCCTTGAAGAATCAGGATGTTCAAAAGAAAAATTTCGAGGCCACCATTGATTTTTTCTGGCAAAAAAAGAAAGCAAAAACTGTTCGGCGAACTTTTGACCGCTACTGTAGTATTGAGCAGAGTGAAGAGGTCGTTGATAGACAGGTCCTGGTCTGGGAAAAGTATCCTATTTCGTTGGAAAGTTTCGCGCACGGCATGCCGTGCAGAGGTCTACCTAGAAATGAAGCCTGACTGATAGCTTTGCACAATCAGAATGGCGGAGGTAGAGTACCGGTAAGCGGAGAATAAAAATAGAAATAAAAGAGGGGTTTAAAATTCGCCCAGTGCATAGAAGTCGAGTCCTGGATACAAATTTGGCTTAAACTTGCTCTATAAGGCTAAAAATTCCTTTAAGTTAGTTCAGTTGAAGTCAGTGTGTAGGTCACATCGCTACTAAACGCCACCACGATTCTGAGCGAAAAGAGAGGGTTCGGTGCAGCTAAGAGAGGTAGATCGACGAGGAATATATTCTCTCTTTGTAGGAGAAAATTCTTAAAAAATGCAACGGGTAGGACAGAACAAAGCTGGCGTGACACGATATTCCTCCATATGACTAATACCCTTATCGATGAGAAGCAGGGAAATCAATCACAAGCCATGTGAGGCCTTTCATGGCGACCATTAACAATTGCCCTTATGGAGCAATTCCGATTGCGATTTATAGCACAGACCTATTCACAGTATCCGTTGATAGTAGGTCTACATATAGCTCTTCTGAGCAAAATTGATGCTTGATGGTTCTTCAATACCTTTCCAAAATATACAGAAAGAACTGATGTATGTAGGCAGATCATTAGTGGCAGATGACCTAACGCGTGGCGATAAACGTTGACAAAGTTTTAAAGGAGGACGAATATATCGCTTGAATAGAACAGCTGTAAATTAAAAAGGAGCGTGATACAGGCGATGTTACCAAAAGGCCGTAGCCAAGGATTATCAGCCAAGACTGACCCATAGTTCCATTCTGTAGAACTACTAATCTACAGTGGAAGACCCTTAAACCGCAGAAAATCTCTAGAAGATAATACTACCTTGCACACCTTCCAAACGACGCCCGTTCTGCGTCGCTTTCATATATAAGGAATTAGTTACTTACAAGGGAAGGATGGTAGGTCGAAGTGGCCGTTCGAAATGAAATGTATACCTCCTGATGCGTCTCCAGACGCTGATTCCAAATCTGCCTTCCAAATCTGCTAAACGACTCTCCGAACGGAGTTATGAAGCGTAATAGCTCAGTGGTGATGGTCCGGGGTGGCAGGTAAAAGCTCGTAGGATCGGTTCCTTTGCAAATTGGTTGCTTTGCTTTTGTCTCTAGAAGTGTTGCGGACAAAAGCAAAGCAACAAACTTGCAAAGGAACCGATCCTACGAGCTTTTACCTGCCACCCCGGACCATCACCACTGAGCTATTACGCTTCATAACTCCGTTCGGAGAGCCGTTTAGCAGATTATTTCTCTCTTCCGCACTAAAACAACCCCCTGGACCGCTAAAAAATACCCTAAAGACTGAAAGGGAGAAATTCCTTTGAATTTTTTGTTCAATAACCGGCTCAATCCGCCCCCCCCCCTAACACCTTGTGCCTAAGAAAGGGCGTTTCTGCAAGGTAAGAGAATGAAAATGTGCTGAAAGCAATAAAAATTTGATGAAAAAAAGGAATTGGAACAGGATTTCTACCCATCCTACCCAAGAAGGTATAGCATATGACTCTTGGATTTTACAGGGGTACAGCTGCAGTTAACAAATATCAAGAACACGGGAGGAAAAGCTCAGAAAAATCGATGAAAGCTCTCTGCAGAGAAACTTGAGATAGGTCGATCGGCCAGCTAAGCGCAATAGAGCAGTGAACTTTCAGTGCGATCGGATGGACGAATGGACGACAGATGCCATGGCGCGATTCTCGAAATCGGTGGCCGCGCGAGAGCGCAGCTGTCGCCGCAGACGCGCGCGCGGCGTTCACGCGACGATCGGCTTGCCACCAGGAGGAGCCGCCAGAAGTTGCAGAGCGGATCCGTTTCGTGTAATCAAACAACGGAGAAGGCGTCTGTGACAAGTCAAATACTCACGCCACCACCGTCAACGTACGTTTGTTTGATTTTCACGAAAATAAAGACGCCCCCAAAGTGACAAGAAACAACTGACTCATGTTACTACAGTAATGATGAATTTCCTTCCGAGAACCGTGATTGTTCTGTCATCCCTAATTTTTTCCTGGCGTATCTCTGAGTCATAATACCTGTTTAAAACTCTGAAATGATCTTTGGAACTTTAGAGAAAAAACCTCGCAGCGCAACACTTCTCATATGCGCCAGCTGCTGTCCAGCTGATGATCAAGTGACTCTACCGTGCTCCAGTAACCTATCTCTTCGTCCCTTCGAGGACTGAACAGGGCTGGTGGGTTACCTCTTTCAAAAATTATGAAGCTTCTCATGTTGTCCTTGCCCGGTCGAGCAATTCACGTCGTTTCACTTCACTATTTCCTTCTGTTTCCTTCTGGTATACATATGGTAACACCCTTCGGATTTTTTCTCGTTCTCATTTTAACAACTCTTTCTAGGCAGCGTGGGCCCCTAGAGGATAACGTCAATATAAAAGTTTAGGCAGACCTAGGCCAACGAAGCTAGGAACGAAGGTAGGCAATATAAAAAACTCTCTAAGAATATTGGGCTTATTTTTGAGCTTTGGATTTCCTTTGAGCTAAGGTTTCGGTGAAGCTTCCTGTAAAATAACGTTCACTTGAATCTGGTGAGACTTCAGGACAGTGCAATACTAAGGAAAAGTCGTTCCAAGCCTGTCCCTCTACCAAAATTTGCCCACAAGGAAAAATAGCGCCTAGTGAAACCAAGCTGTCAGTCGCTTTAGTCCAACGGTAGTTACCTATCACATCGTATAACTTCGTTGGCTGGCCTTAGCAGGAGCAGCAGTCTCCAATTTCAATCTGCGCTACTATATTGAAACACCCGAAACCCACTTATGTTCTCGAATGAGGATGCTAGCGGCCAGCGTAAATCTTGGCGTATTGGAAATTTTTAAAAATCCCCCTTCCCCCTTCCCAGGATCTCGCATATGTACGGTTCTCGGTCGATCTTGAAGCTAACAACTGTGTATTCCAGTTGATGTGAGTAAGTGCTGCTTGCTTCGCGCGAAGTCGGAATCAGGTTTGGGAACGCCAACCCACAAACCTGAAGCAGGATTGCGGCATAAAATTTAACGGAAGCGGGAGGGTATGTGGGTGTGCATTTCGTTTATCGTTTTGGACATTAAATTTTCTCACCAAGTTTTTTTTTTAGGGAAGGTTAATTTTCTTCCGGTCAGTGGAGCGTTGAGATACTATGCATTCTGGGCAAGCGTTTTCTCGTTCATTTTGAGCCCACAAGCCACAACTCGCCGAATGCCGGCCTCGCGACAAACCAGTTGGCTCCTATTCCATACACCACTGGAACTTTCGCTCCTGAGACGCATCGATGAGTTTCCAATGAACCGTTCCTTGATTCCGAGACAGAGGAGATTTGGACTGCTTTTCCAAATGGACCTACTTTCCAATTCGATTCTGATGAATCTCGCTCGTTGTTGTAGCGCATTCCACTCAAGAAAATAGACCTCTTATTACCCCTTTCTACTCTTATTCAAAATTAAATACTATATCGGCAACTTATAAATTGCACAGGGCTAAGGAGAGGGTGGGAACCAAGTATCAAAATGACTTTTGTACTGGATTGGCGGCCTTTTTACAAAATTAGCGAACACAGGGAAATTGAAAAGGCTCGGATGACAGAGCATTTGATCAGAGTCGAAGAGCTTTGATTCGCTGACCAATTCATGTGGCGATAGTGGCACCACTTGCTACTGCTCTACACTGATCTTGTCTTGAGAGTGCTCTCCACCCGGTAATCACCCAGCTCTTCATTATAGAAAACAAAAACAAAGCAGAGACGAAACCGGACGGGCTTTTGTTATTAACCCTAAATACTCTACTGTGAAGTTACTCTAACCGCTAATTCTCTACAAATGTACTAAGCATATATGTGGCAAGGGGCTGGGACATTCAATACCTTATGAACGCCTTTTCACAGCAGAAAGAATCAGGGGAAGCCGGGTTTGCGGTTGAATTCAAGAGCACAGCCTTTAAAGAGCCTGATGGACCAAAAGTTCTGAAAACTATCGACGAATTTCGACTGAACAAACAAACATTTCACGTGGTAGGACACAAGGGAACAACATGTGACCATTTCAGCAACGCTCGAAGGCGATCACTGAGCACGGCGATTCTCTCGACAGCAAAACAACAACCGTAACCTAACATTGAAAAGCATGAGACGAGCTTGGTTTTGATCACTCTCGTTTAGGAATACGCCACGCATTCATTTCTATTTGGACTCGCATTGGTAATTGGAATGCGATTTGACCCATACAACGAACGGTGGGGGCTGCCCATGTACAAATCAGTGTATCAGTTTTTCCAGATGAGTTAATTACCAACTGGCAGACCCTGGGCTTACTTAGCCGGACCGCGTATGATTCAGAATTTGATACCCGGGTGGTGGTAAGCAGTGCCACTTGCTAGAAGGCACTCACATCCGGTATATTCTTGGAGGAAATCATATGGGATATGGGTTACATCACAGGGAAACGGTAAAGGAAATACATCAATGTATAGTATCATCCTCAATTATCAAATGGGTCTCATCCAGTAAGGGGGCATGTGGTGCGACAGTTCATATTGCATGAAGAAATCCACTTTTTTCAGGGGAGGGAAGCTCCGGGGTGGGTGTAAAAGTTTAAGCGAAATGGTTCACGCACCCCGGGGTTCCCTCCCCTTGCAAAAATTGGAATTTCTGTAGCCGGCAAGAACTGTCACACCACATGCCCCCCCTTACTGGATGAGACCCTATCAAATTTATAATTTTTAACTGGTCCGCTCTTGAATATCACTTGACCTCACTGGGTTGAGGAGCGTTCAAAGATTTCCTTTTCTTCGCTTCCGAAAACGATCACAAACTTGGGTGAGTACAACTATAACTTTGACCTTTCATATAAGGACCTTTAGCAGTCTTCCCAGCAGAGAAATCCTAACCTTTTTTCGGACCCGCTGGTCAATGTAATCGCTTATCACTGTTATGCAATAAAGTGAACGCCTACACCTCAATACTCCTTGTTCTTTTTTATGTTTCTTGGAAGAGAATCGCTAATCGAATTAAAGGAACTATTTTGCGGACGAGGTACTCGACTTTTTACTTTTACAGCCCGCTCTGTCAAAAACACTCACATTACCTAAGCCCTAAGCAGCCAACAGTTGATTTATTCATTGAATGGATAGAGTTCAAGTGGGAAGGGGAAAGTGTATTCCTAAGCAAGTTCACAGATATGGCCTAAATATCCCTCTTGATATTTTCTGCACTTTTTCAAGGGAGGGCAGGCTTCTTCATTCCAGGGTTAGGTATAGCAAAAACATAAAAATTGAACAGTGGACAAGAAGCGTAGTGCAATGGAGCCCACCCGTAAACAGCTGGGCATTCCCCAGGGCAATATTCTCAGCTGAGCGCATTTCATGGCTGTTCGGACATCCCCAAAGCCTAGCTGGAAATCAACAAGAAAAATAGCGGCCGTGGGACCATGGTCGAAAACACCCAAAGAGTTAGTGGCGCTGGTAGGTCCTCCTGGGATTGACCAGTCATTGAATCGGAGGATCCTACTACCATCCCCGTTCAGCTAACAAAATAGTAACAGGCAGAGGGTCAATAACTATGTAACGAAGGGAAACACATAACTGCTATTCTATTCATCGATTCAAGGGCTTGGACGGAGTTATGTGATTGACATCTGGACAAGAAAAATGGATACTGAATCCCACTGTGACTAATAAATGGGCGGAGCCTAGCGAACATGAAAAAGAATCAATCTCCTTCTTGACTTGTTTTGTTGAATAAAGCTATGGTAACTTGACCATCAAAAGTTGAGTGGGGGAAGAAGGGTGCCCTGGTTCTGTAACTGGTAGCAACTCTTTCGGAAAGAAAGAGATCCGGGTACGAATCCCGGCTGAGGCGAAAGTTATCCCACAACTCAGCATTCCTGTGATAATCAATCTTTTTCGCTTTTTATGGTGATACATCATGACTAACCCTAGTGCAGCTCTTAAGCATCTACGGTTCCATACCTGCACTCAGTGCACCACACAATCAAATAGACATTCTGGGATCCGCTTCCCTGGTGTCATTCCTTCTAGAACTCCAGACATTTTCTTTGAGTCGGTCCCGTTGATTGTAAAAATGCGAGGTACACCGCGTATCCCAAAGGATAAAGCTTATCACAGACATCATAGGCCCCAAAGATCTGATTATTTGCATCAAACGCATTGCCAAATACTTCTACGAGTTGGGACGAAAGTCGAAGACACGGCGCATATCAAAGCGACAGCTGAAGCTTTGCATTTTTCTCCATTGTTTAATAGAACTTTTGATTAAAAAACAATTAACAATAGAAAGTAAAAAAAAGAGAGAAAGTAAACAGTAAATAATCAAAATGATAAGGAATTTTTCAAAGTTACTAGTGTATTGGAAGCGGACAGTGGAATGATGGCTGCGTTGGAGCAATCTGTGAAGATCTAAAGCGTGAGCAGTTTCTCCTGAGGGTGAACAAAATAATAAAAGAATCAGAATCGATATCCGGGACATCTGCTAGGAAGTTAAATAGCTTCCCACGCCTCATTGCTGAGGCGAAAAACGCCCCAAGAGGAACTAAGAAATATCGTGGACTGTGTGATATGTGCAGTGATGTGTGTGTTATGTCGTCGTCGTTGTCGTCGAAGGTGAAGAACAGGTAGATCTAATTGGCCCCGCCCACGCACCCACACGCACATCTGTAGATGAAATAGATATACCCGATGGCGACAGCCGGCGGCGGTGGCGCCGCCGCAGGTTTCGCCATGGTCGATCGACGCCACCGCAGCTCGCGACGGGAGCTGGTTCCCATCCCCATCTGAAACATCTTCCCTTCACATACGTGCGTAATTTGACGATCGTCGACAACACCCAAGTCGATGTGGAAAAGAACCATCGCCGACGACATTTTCGCATCATTTACGACAGTATGCATTTCTCCGCCTTCGAAAAAACTCCAGCCGCCAAGTGTCATTCATCTAAAAGGCCGATCGCCATTCAATTTCTAGGAATCCTTCCGCTGACATGTTTTCGCTCAAAAAATTCTTCAGGAACTTCGGAGAACAAAAAATGACAGACTTGTGATCGAGAGAGCCACCGAAGGTTTCGGAGATGTAAATAGAACTTTACACCCCACTGTCAATTAAAGTAAGATATGCGCCGTGCATCTGACATTTCTTCAAAATTTCAAAGGAAATTGTATATGCACTCCAACTAAATGTTATGATGAACCGAAACTAAACCCAATAACACTAAGTTGCAATAAATTAAAAATACGCAAATAGTAAAGAATGTCTTAATATGTAATCAAAACAAGTCTGATCCAGAAAATAAAACTACACTTGATCGTGCTTAAATTTGAATTTTTAATCGCTGTATGGTCTGCTCAGAAGAGAAAAATAGGAAAGCTGGAAGTGTTCATAAACTTTTGATAGGATCATACTTGTGATCTCTGTCAAGCACTTCCAGAGCGACTGCTAGCATGGGAATGTCCAACGTTGTGAGACTGCAATAATGTAAGCCGCGATACAAATGAAGTCCCATGCATTATAGTTGTATGCATTGAACGGAGTAGTGTGCCAAAGACGCGCGCTCGGTTGCGTTGCGACCATCATAGCACAATTCGGGCTTAATCATTATCCTGCTGTTCCGCGTCCTATGAACTGAGCGGCTGATTTTTGATCGAATTGTCCATGATGAGATTTCGCTAGAAAGTGTTTTCGGGGTATTTCTGAAAGGCTAGAACCGAATACCATGCCTGATTAAGCGCGGAAACGCTTCGGAGCCCGTCGCACAGGAGCCAGCGTGTCACACAGGCTACAGGTCACTCGCGCGATGTAGTGTGATAGCATGTAGTTACGGCGGCAAAGTTCCTCTGAAGACAAGTTTCCAGCGAATTCGGTGGTCCGAGACTCTGGCACGAACGCCAAGCGTTTTGGCGGAAAACGAATGTGATATTCGTGTTCTAAGGTGAATAACCCCTGAAGGCATGATTCTAGCCGAATTTACAGTCGTGGAAAAGTTTCGATAAAGCCCGGCTTCGGTTCTCAAGGTGTAAAGGGGCAGATAAAACACGGTAAATAGTCGCCATATAAGGGGTTCATCAGTGGGCCGGGAGAGGATGTGGCGCGGACAGTTCTACGTGCACGACCAGTAACCCGTTTTTTACAGGGGAGAGAAGCTCTGGGATTAGTGTTAAATATTTAGCAAAAACAAAATGGTTATGCACCTCGAAGATTCCCTCTCCTTGCAAAAATTGGAGTTTCTGTAGCCGGCAAGAACTGCCACACAACATGCCCCCCTTAGTGAATGAGACCCTAGATCGGATTCTAGCCAAATCAATAAAAATGTGGATGCTTTTCACGAGATGAGATCATCAAGATTTGCCCGATAGTGTATGTGGCGATGATTTGTGCGAATGAAGCAATCACACAAATCTGTTGCCAGAGAGGACAGCGTATCCGACGTCATGCGGGCTCCACACTTTACATATTTTCTCTGATAAAGGCAAAATCGTTATTGGACCGCGTAGAATAGGATCTACAATTTGAAGGTAGTCTGCCATTGATATCAGCCAGGAGTCTCATGAAGAAAATGAAAGGATTACGGTAGCAAAATTGAATGCAAACACGAACATTTAGAAAGGCGTTCATTGACGGGTTAATGGAAAACCCATTAAGCGACACACAATAATGGACTCACTACGTGTTATTTGCCGTCTTGGCCGTATGGACAGCACTAGACATTTAAGATGACGCCTAAAAACATGCAGAAGAGCCGCGGAGTTTTACAGCGATGAGTGCCGTCATACACCATTGGGAAAGTGGGCATTAAACGAGCATAATCGCGTCCTTATAATGTGCTGACTAAATTGCAAGAAGGAACGAGATACGAAGAAATGTGGAAATAACTGAAATATCCTAATATTTTTTTGTATTGGGAAACGAAGAAGGGGACACCAAAGAGAGCCGCGCCGCGACCGCGCGCGTTCCAGGGCAGCATCTTTGATAGTTCCTGAATAAGCGATGCGCGGTATGGTCATCTAGAGAAACGTTCACCTAGCACCCTGTGTAAGGAGTAGCCCCTAGTGTTCACGAAAATTTCGATACAATCTTCCGATGCTCTTGCAGGATCGCGTCGCGGCCGCACGCGTCTTTGCAAGACCCGAACCAAGTTCTCATTTATGCTTTGTTTATCATATTCTGAAGAGTCCCATTTCACATGAAACAAAACGCAGGTCTGAACCCTCTTAGTGTCCACTCCAGTAATAGTAATGAAACAAAAGTGTTAAGAAAGCGTTATGAGGAACTCTTTAACAGACGCGAGCGGTTGCGCAGCGTAATCAAAGATCAGAATAAAATGCCGTGCTATCCGACAGAAACATCGGTCTGCCACCTTGTAACAATAAAAGAGCATTTACCAGCAACGACTTGGCTGATGTAGTTGGTTAGATAGTTCTTAATGAACAGTTCTGCATGGCCATCGAGCAAAGATGTGCCCATGAAGCCGCACCGCAACCGCGCGCGCAACACAACTGGCAACTTCGACCTTTCTGCATCTTCCTTAGCAAGTTTCGCTCAGAGTGTCTGATTTTAGCAAAGCAAAACCTAAGAAGTTTTGATATCGGTCTAGAACCCTTACGTACACCCTTAGGTTAGCTTTTCATCTAAAAGAGATATGAAATAAGATATTCAAGCAAATTTCGAACCACTTCAAATAGAATTATAATTATTTTTACAAAA